CACAACGGACGGGTTTGTGTGAGTTTGCCGTCCGTATGTAAGTTTGCCGTCCGTACGTTTTTTCTCAATGGGCAGACGGGTGGTTAACAAAAATGTATCTTATTTGTGTATCACTCGGCTGTAGATCCTTAAAAGAGAACTATGTGGTAACCTTTTTATCCCATAGTTCTTTTAAGGGCACGGTAGTAACCAAGACACAAGATGTCAGGCAGACAGGGGCAACCAAAATTTAGATAGCGGCTACTGGCCCCTATCTAGTCTCAACTGTGGTATTTACATATTAATGGGTGGCGCTATTTACATATGAATAAGCCACGACTCACTCTCCCCCAACAAATGTCCGCCCATCGCTAGGGTGTTCGGGTTTCGCTTGAAGAAAAGGTGGCAACCCTACCTACCCCGATAATAAGACCTAGTACTATTTTGGGGAATTGCTAAAATATAAGACCTATCCCAAAAATAAGACCTAGTTGTGACCTTTCCCAGGGCCGGTGGTGGCATAAGGTGAAACTTGAAGAGCCGCGGGAAAGAATTAGAGGTGCCAACGAAGTCAGCGCTAGAGGAAGCGAGGCGGCAGCAGAGGGAGCAGAGCCACATAAGCCGATGCTTCCTCTATAGCGCCGACTCCAGTTACAGGCGGAATTATACCAAATGCACTCCACCTGTGAGGAATGATAGTGTAAAATATAAGACAGTGTCTTATTTTTGGCGAAACACGGTAATGAGCTTTGGGTCACGGGAGGACGCTAGTATATGTCCTCCCGTGACCCTTAAAAGAACTATGGGATAAAAAGGTTACCACATAGTTCTCTTTTAAGGATCTACAGCTGAGTGATACACAAATAAGATACATTTTTGTTAACCACCCGTCCGCACATTGAGAAAAAACGTACGGACGGCAAACTCACATACGGACAGCAAACTCACACAAATCCGTCCGTTGTGAGGAGCAGTTACCAGCAGAGGCGGCTCTTTAATTAGGCAAATTAGGCGGTCGCCTTAAGGTGGCCATACACTTTACAACCATCGCAAGACCTTAGTCTTGCGATGGTTGTAAAGTACTTAAAAAAACGTATGATCTGCCCATCTTGGACAGGCAGATCGTACTTGCGATCATCGCAAGCCCGCCCCCTTGAGGGGCGGGCTTGTGATGACTGCAATGAGGGGCGGGCTTGCAAAGACGGCAAAGGGGCAGTGTGCGCGTGCGCACACCGGCCCGTTCGTCAGTTGTCGAACAAGCAGGCCACTCACTCGCCGAAAATCGTACGATTCCAGCGAGTACGAGTACGATTCCAGCGAGTACGATTCTCCAGCCTGCTTGTTCGATGGAAGACATGCGACCGTACAGTAGAAACGGTCGCACGCCTTCCATACACTGTACGATTCTCGTACGATCGCGGGATTTCCCGCGATTCTCGTACGAGAATCGTACAGTGTATGGGCACCTTTAGGCCTCACGCTCCCTAGTTTGCCCCGTCAGAACGGGGCCGCCTAGTTTGCCCTGTTTCGCGGCCGCCTAGTTTGCCCTGTCAGAACGGCAGCCAGCTAGCGTTGTGAGCTCTCATCCCGTAGCTAGTTTCGCGGCCCCCTAGTTTGCCCTGTCAGAACGGCAGTCAGGTAGCGTTGTGAGCTCTCATCCCCGTAGCTGTCAAACTGAGACTCTCAGTTTGAGACCCTATGGAGCCCTGGTGCTGTTGAGACCTTATCTCGCCCTGGTGAGACCCCACAGAGCCCTGGTTCAACCAGGGCTCTGTGGGGTCTCATCAGGGCACTAAGGGGGTCTCATCAGGGCACTAAGGGGGTCTCACCAGGGCTTTGACGGTTTTCTCCAGGGCTCTGCGGGACTAACAAGGCTGGTTAGACCCCACAGGGCCCTGATGAGACCCCACAGAACCCTGCAACCCTGGTGAGGCCCCCTCAGAGGCCTGGTTTAACCAGGGCTTTGTGGGGTCTCCCCAGGGCCCTGAAGGGGTCTAACCAGGCTGTTGAGACCCCACAGAGCACCGGTGAGACCCTACGGAGCCCTGGTGCTGGTGAGACCATATCTCGCCCTGGAGAGACCAGACAGAGCCCTGGTGAGAACCCACAGTGCCCTGGTTTAACCAGTAGGGTCTCACCTGGGCTGTGTAGGGTCTCACTAGCACCAGGGCTATGTGGGGTCTCACCAGGGCCCTGAAGGGGTCTAACCAGGCTGGTGAGACCCCACAGAGCCATAATGAGACACTGGTGCTGGTGAGACCCCCACAGAGCCCTAGTTTAACCAGGGCTCTGTGGGGTCTCACCAGGGATCTGAGGGGTCTGACCAGGGTGGCGAGAGCCTACATAGCCCTGCCGAGACCCTACAGAGCCCTGGCAAAACTCTACAGATCCCTGATGAGACCCTGCAGAGCCCTGATTTAATCAGGGCTCTTTGGGGTCTCACGGGGCTCTGTGGGGTCTAACCAGGCTGGTGAGATCCCACATAGCCCTGGTGCTGGTGAGACCCTACAGAGCCCTGGTTTAACCGGGCCTGCGTGGGGTCTCACCAGAGCTCTGTGGGGTTTCACCAGCCCTGGTTTAACCCCACAGAACCATGTTGGGACCCCTACCCTGGTGGACTCTTTGGGATTTCACCAGGGCTCTGTGGGGTCTAACCAAGCTGGTTAGACCCCACAGAGCCCTGGTGAAATCCCAAAGAGTCCACCAGGGTAGGGGTCCCAACATGGTTCTGTGGGGTTAAACCAGGGCTGGTGAAACCCCACAGAGCTGTGGGGAGACCCCACAAAGCCCTGATTTAATCAGGGCTCTGTGGGGTCTCACCAAGCTCTGCGGGGTCTCACCAGCCTGGTGAAACCCCACAGAGCTGTGGGGAGACCCCACAAAGCCCTGATTTAATCAGGGCTCTGTGGGGTCTCACCAAGCTCTGCGGGGTCTCACCAGCCTGGTTAAACCCCACAGAGCCCTGGTAAGACCCCAGAGGCCTGAGTGGGGCCACATGTTTAGGTTTCGCAAACTCTAGAGCCGCCTCTGGTTACCAGCTATTTGACATACAAGCTCTATAGCCGCCGATCACTTGTATGTTGTGGCTGCAGCCCCCCCTCTCCCTCTTCGGGTCCTGCCGTCGCCCCCCCTCCTGAACCCTCACCTTCAATCCCGGGATCCGCTACCCCATCTGCGGCCCGGGACCGGCTCGGGAGGGTGTCAGGAGGTAAGATGGGAGGGAGTTCAGCATCTTCCTCCTTGCTGATCTCCCTCCGTACTGTGAATGTGGAAGTGATGTGTATTACATCACTTACGCATTCACCTGTCAGTCATCTGGCTGCTATAGCCAGAGAGAAGAAGCTGATGAAGCAGATCTCTGCTTCATCGGCTTCTTTGGGGGTCCCCAGGTGACAGGGGGTCTTAGAGACCCCTAATGTCTCCATAAAGGAGGACCTGTCAGTGTGCCTTTGCTATTATATAGGGGGATTGTTATCCACCTATGTGATCGCAATGACATTAAGTGTAAAAAAAATAAAAGTCACATATAAAAAAAAGGAAACAAAAACCCCAAAAATGTTTACGTCCACCACGTTTACACACATATAAAAAATTAAATACGCGTCAGATACGCCAGCGCGTGAAAATGACAATTGCGCTACACATGTTACATATGGCTACGAACGTTGCAGTGAGAGCAATAATTTTAGGTCCATCAATCACTGATAACACTAAACTGATGAGCGGTAAAAGCTTTTAAAGCGTCGCCTATGGCCAATTTTGGGTATTGTCGTTTTTTGAGGTTTTAAAGCTTGACATGTTGTTTGGTGTCTATTTACCTGACGTGACCCCGTCTTTTATATTTTACCAAAAAATTGGGTAATAATAAAATGTTTTAGATTTACCCAAACGTTTTTTGTTTTTTTTTAGATTTTGGTAATTTTTCCTTACTATAGTACAAAATAAAAACCGCAGTGGTGATTAATTACCACCAAAAGAAAGCTATCTGTCCCCAAAAAATTGCATAAAATTAATTTCAGTACAACGTTGCATGACAGAATAAATGTCAAAGTACCGCAGCTCTGAATACTAAAAAATGGCCTGGACAGGAAGAGGGTTTAACACCACAGACTTCAAGTGGTTAATAGTTATGATACTTTAATGCATTTTTAAGATTTAACTCCCGAGTTTAGTGTCACACTAAAACAAGGGTGAACAAATAAATATAGAATCCAGGATTTTTTAGAAGCCAGCTCCAATGACAACAACTACAGAAAACCTTAGTAATAGTAAGGTTAGATGGTAGCTGTAATTTTTAAAGAGCACCTGTCTCCTGGGATTTGTCCAGCCTTGGCTTAGAACATATGAAAGCTAGCAGTAAAGAGGGTCATGAAAAAAATAAGCACGACTGTAGATATGCAATTTGACATGCAGCACTCGAATGTAAAGATAAACTTGTTTCTTTTACAAACAACCACCTCTGACAGGAAAGCAGATAAGCATACTAATTAACAGGAGGATACAACAATCGAAGCATAAATCAAATCCGTATCCAAAACGCACGATAGAAAACGACACTTAAGGGTTAAATATAAAATACCAAGTTACCTTCTTTCTTAAAAGGTCGAGCCTGTTAACTTATCAACAAATACATTGCAGCAAGTTGCACTGCATCTTCCCCTAAAAGTTACTCAGAGACAAAGCTACTAGAGCCGCCCACCAATGACAGAGTAAACCAAATAAAAGCTATGTAGGGATTACACAGGCACCGTTTATCTGAATGAAAATCTGTATAGTTTAAATGAATAAAAGACAAAACATTTCTAGTACGTAAAAAGTATTACATTACATATTCCAAGTATGTAAAACTGTAATTACCCGAGTGCAAACTGTCATTACCCGAGTTACTCAAATGGTATAATCCACATAGATGGTTCTAGAATCTACCGTAAAGCGAACGTTGGTTGCGCGTGCGCAGTACAGAAGCCGGGTGGGTACATTTATCGTGGCCGTTTCGAGGTGTATCTCCTTTTGATTCCGTGGTCATCCTTTGAAATAATGTCTACTTTGGGCACGCTGGCGTTTGACGAGTATGGAAGGCCTTTTATCATTATTAAAGACCAAGAGCGCAAGTCACGCTTGTCAGGATTGGAAGCACTTAAGGTAAGAGGTGAAATATAACGTTGGAAGAAAGGGAAGCGGCGGTTGTACGGCTGCTTATAGTGAGAGCACGTTTAGCGACTTTCAATCCTGTTGGTATTGCTGACTCGGGCAAACCCCCCC